CTAAAGAATTTCAGGTCTTTCAATCTGTAGGAATTGTCTCTTTCCATGAAAGCACTGGTAATCATAAGTTTATTTGAAAAACATTGGTTTGTGCTTTAACTACACATTCAAACCTCCTCACCACCCTCCCCCCATGGTGATATTGTGCTTGTCAAACCTGGCTTGCTCCACTTTCTTGTATCACAACATGTCTAGGAAACAACTGTGAAGGTTTTTTGGGAGGCCTTTGCAATATGACAATTTTTTGCATTTCTTGTTTTTTGGTTGATTATTTCTCATGAATATTGAATTTATTTCAAGAGGGATGATACCAAGATGCTCAATGGTGGGATTATAACAGGTGGTAATTACTACATTTCAATTTAATTCCTCAGAATTAAATTTAAGACAGAGTGAAGAAGTTCTGGTAATTGGATTGAAAGCTGGCAATTTATGGCTTCCAGTAAGTCAAACTGAATAGTATTTTTCTTTATCAAAACTTTGTTAAACTAGCAATTAATATTTAATTTTTTATGATTAGTCATTGAATTCATGTGCTTCTTTTCTTATAGGGATTATTTTCAAATAGTGTTTGTGAACTTGACTTAGCATGGTAAGAATAATAACTTAATATGTTCATTGAAGAAAACTATGAATGAAACAAATAGAATGTATAATTGTGATGTTTTCAGTGATGAACTTGATAATCAAGAAAATTAACTGTGGTATTGAGGTTTCAGCAAAATTCCTTTTATCCCTTTGATCCTCAAGAGTGACTAGTATCTAATTTCTCCTTACAATATCTCCCATGAATCAGAGATTAACGTCACAATAATAAACAAAATGATCACTCACTAAAGGAGCTCTTGATTGTTAAACAATTTCTCCTTTTTAGAGTATAGAGAATATGAATACTGATGTTAGGGTGTAAAGGGTTTGAGTAAGCAAAGATAAGAAGGACAAGAACTGGAGACAGCTGTATTATCCTGAAAAGTTAGTGAATTGTAAATTTCTTGTTTTTTTGTTTTTAAGGTGGCCAGGACTTTACAAAGGAAAATTTGGATGGTTTCCAGGTAGGACCAGGCTGTGGAAAACTGAATACTAGTAAAGGAATGAGAGGTGATGGAACTAGATAATGATCAATGACTGAGGAACCCACCGGCAGTAATAAGCTGACTGACTGGAGATAGTGATGAGATGCTCAAGCTCAGCACAGTAAAAATCTTCTAATCAGTGAAAGGATAAATACCATGATATTTTTATAATGAATATTGATATTTTTCCTAGTAGATGGGAATTTTCATTAACCTACAATGGGTTATTTTTGGGTCAATTGTGACTAAAATAAATGTAGACTACCTTTGATATTAGATTTTTTCAGAGATATGATGACAAAGTGGGTCACACACTGGACTCTTATACTAGTTAACAATTATTCACTAATGGCAAAGTGAATATTGTTGAATAACCCACAAGACAAAGTCAAGGGGATCATTCAACAATATTCATGGAGCCTGAGGCAAATAATTGTTTCAGTATAAATGGCTATGTGGTTTTGAAATCTGTTGTAAATATTTGTTTTGATGTTGAAATCATTGTGTTACATTTGTTTGATTACTTGTATCAAGCTTAAGAGCCAGTTTCCACTAGAATTTGAAAGGTTCATTTAACCCAATCAGCAAAAACTTCATATCTTTCTTTTGAAAAGTGTTACCGCCAACTTAATAGCAGCTTTAGTGCTCTTGGGAAATTAAATGAATTTTCTTTATCATGCTCATCACTTCCTTTGTCACTCTGACAAAACTCAAGGCAGCCATTTTGAAATTCATCACTCCTGCCATAATCACCTTAAGCAAGGTGATTATAGCAAGATGTGATCCTTTTTTTGACCTATCAGAGCATGCCCATCTCTTCAGTCACCAGAGCAATTATATTAAAACACCACACTAAGAAAGATTGTTGCATTTTTCAGCTCAGTGTGTCACAGGACCTGAAATGACAGCATACAATGGAACAAATGAGGCAAGTTACAATTAATATGTTAATAATATTAATTGTTCTTACTATCATAACTGAGGAGGGTTAAATGCTGAAACCCATATCTCTGCAAAACAGTCTCTATTAAGTTATCAATATTAACTAGTAAGTTTTCTCAACGAATTAAAAATAATTATGATTTTTGTCAAACTTGATGCCCTAGATATAATGTTTGTGGACCATTTCCACACTTTCATTCAACAGTTGACTGGTTCAAATTTGTTTTTCCATAGTTTTGAAGTTTTTAAACCAGTTTTAATATTTCATGGTTTATTTTGTTTGCTTCCTGGTGTAGTTTCATCCCATTCCCGTGGCCACAGCATTGAATGAGATCAAACAGAAAATGATGGACTGGGTGAGTGAGTGCATGTACATGTTGTAGTTAAACTTTGCTGAATTCTGTCCTCTTGTAATTGTAAGTTTAAAGATTGTAATGATATATCTAGACCAAAAAAAATGTGTTAAAATCATTTTGACATGCAATTCACTTTAGTTGAAAATATTCCAAATAGTTCTTACTTCTTTAGTTGGTTTGCTCTGTAAATTGATTTGAAAAAAATTCTTATTTATTGGATATAGACTGGCAGTTTACCCAAAGAACCTATCACTGGGGATATGACAGTGTTAAAGGTCTTTAAACCTGACAAGACATTTAAGGTAAGAAGAAAAAATAGTAAAAGAACAGTTCAGTTTTTGAGATGCTCAAGGATCATGTCACATTTAGTAACAAACAATTATTGTTATGATAATGATGTTGATCATGTTTGTTAATTTTCAGACCTGCAAGGTAGAACCAGGTTTCCTAATTTCTGATGTTATGCGGTAAGTAACTTGTCCTTCTTTGAAGCATATTGTAGAGAATGAAAATGTCTTTTTGAATACCTGTACCACTGAAGAGAAATCTGGACATTGTATTCTAGAACTTAAAGACAAACCATAGCCTGGTTGATTAAAGGCTCCAAGTAGGGATAAAACACCATGTATATAAAATCCTGACAATATTATTATTTCTCAGCAAACACAAAACTGAAAGTTGATGAAAACTGATTAACTTATCAGTTAGATGGTGTTATCTTGATATTATCTCTACTAATGATCAGTTTACTAGTTAGATCAAGATTTTGTTTTACTTTTGTGCAGGCAATACACAAGGCACAGAAGTTTTGTTGGAGGGCAGATTGATGCTTCAGTGTTGGAAATGTGGGAGGAATCAGTAGATGGTTCTGGTGAGATTCAACTAATAGTTATGATCATGTTTTGTTAGCAATAATACACCGTAACATCATTTTGTTCCAACAAACTATATTTGGCAACATACTTACACCAAAAGCCAGTCCTTCCATAGGGTTGATTTAAATATTTCATTCATGTCAAACATTCAGTTTATTTGGTTATTCTGTCTTGTTAGTTTGCTTGTTTTTTTTTTGTTTTTTTTTGGAACATGTATGTATCCAAACTATCAGATGCATTATTTGTTCCTTTTGTATGCCTTAAGTTCTTGTTCATTTTATATACTGGTATTTTATCATCGTTAGCTTCCGTGTAAATTGACTATTTTTTGCCTTTCAGAAAACATTGTATACAATTGCATGTAAATTAGAATCAGAGTTGTTGTCACATTTAAACAAGGTACCTGGTACTGCCATTTCTATTCCTTTTTTATAGTTCACAGACGCTTGGATCCTGGGGAGAAGCTGAGTAACATCTTTGCAATGTGGGGAAAATATCAGGTAAGTTATGTTGACAATTGGAAGTGGACTGTTAGAACAGGTAAAGAAACATTGTTGATTCAATTTTGTATTTGAACAGTTTGGATCATTGGTAACTTAGCCATTGGAAATTTGGGCCATAACATGTAAGCTTACAGGGCAGGTGTATGTCTACGGCCAAGAGTGGCCTGTTAACCCTGCAAGTACCAGAAGTGATTAACACGCAACCTCTCCTTGCAATTCCAATAAGTTGTCTTTCAAACAGGTTATGAGAAAAGACAAACTCATCAGCAAGATGGTGTTATCTTGATATAGCATCATATTCTCATGTGTAACTTACAAGGAAATTTGAGGGAGTGAAGAGGGAGAATTACTCATTGTATCTTGAGGGTTAAGGGGTTGAATACCACTTGAAGGATTCAGTTTGAAATCCTAGTCAGGGTGATTTTCAAGGGAATGAAAGGGCTGTGGAAACTGTCAGGGATTTTCAGGGAAACTTGATAGAATGTTGAGCAATATATAGCCCTCATGACACAATTCCTTTAGCAGAGCTCCATTTTGCCTCCTGTCTCATGAACTGGAATGAGGTGCAGCAGAATGAGCCAACAGGCTGGTGTGACATCTTAAAACCTTGCTTACTAGTTTTATTTTGTGTTGTTAGGGAAAGATGAAGCTTGTTGTTTACAATAAAGATGAAAGACAGGGACTAGCATCTGATAAGAAAGAGGAACAAAAACCAGAACCACCCACTGGAGTGCTTATCTACTTTGATTAGCTTCAAAACAGTTTTTAGTAATTCACATTTCAGTCAACATTGTGTCCACAAATACACAATAACTTGCTAATTATTTTAAAATTAATAGTACAATGTAGTTTTTATTGGAGCAAGTGAGGAAATTTTTAATTTTCTCTGAGATGCGTAATAGAAATACAACATACAATTTTATCAAATTAAAATCCTAAAATTTTATAATCTTTAATTATGAAATCCAGAGTGCTATGAGTGAAGGCAAAGTCAATATTACAATTCAATTGCGTACCCCTTTCAGTCCATGCCCAAGAGTATCTTATTTATACTGAAAATGCGTATTTCCTCTTCTAGTTTCTCTTAGTTATCTTAATTCCAAACTGCACAATCAACCCTCAGTTTCCAAAATAGGGGATTTTTTCAAAATTTTTTTTTAAATGCTCCATCAAATAGTTTTTGATAATGGCAGACTTGTAAATTTTATTGAAAAATAATCACAGTATTCATTTGAAGGAGACCAATGATAAATGACTATATGGTTACAGTCCCGCCAAATTAAATCTGGCTTTCTGAGTCCATTTTTAATCAATTATTTTTAGATACAGAGAAGAAGATTAAGGATAATTTAGCATACACTAGTCAGCTCAGAACAATTTTTGATTTTCTTTTTTTTTCCACTCAATAATTTATTTCATACGAGCCTAGTATACCTACTACACCTAAGTCTATGTTTACTCTTTATGTCACTCCTTTGTACATAATGCAATCTCAACAAATATTCTTCATCCCAGAAACTGCTGAGCTCTTTCACTCCAAGAGTGAATTCAAGGCATTAGGTTCAGCTGTGGAAAAAGTTTGGTATTAAAACTGAGCCCAGCACCTCGATCAACAGCAAATTGGGGAAAGATAAAATGCAATAAAACTTTTCTTTAGTACGTTTGAGGGAGGATTTTTGATTCAGCTTTCTTGTCCCTAACACTTACACACTTATTTCCTAATATGTAGAACCTGAGTGGTTTCAGAGCCCACTCAGGTCCACAGGAATTTAAGCCTATTCTTGTTGATTTCACTATTGTAAGTTGACTTCCATGAGAATTTTTGTCATCCTCAAGCCAGAATCTTTCGGAAAATGCCATGTCTTCTTTATTGAGATTAGCCTTCTCAATACAAAATGCCTGACAGAGCTTGGAAGGTCCGTTGCCCAGTTCAAAGTCTTTCAGCTTGCTACCTCCATCCTTTCGTCGTACCCCTCTGAATGATTTCATAGAACTTAATCCTAAAAAGAAATAACATATGCATATAATTAGCAGAATATTACTGTTTTAAGCCTTTCTTACACTTTTCACCTTTGAGTCTCTCACCCTTACTAAAACTATTAAAACTTAAGTAACCATTTTTTTTCTTGCGTGAGAAATGGACCAGCAACTTTGCAGACATGGTGTCTGTAGAAATGTTTATCTGCAGATGGGAGACTAGGCCAGTGGATAAAGGAGATGTAGTAATTTCGTAAACAATTTCGCCTTCCATTACAATTTCGTATGTATACTCATTTCAACTTCTTTTGGAACATGTGCACTTTCCATTACATTACAATTTCCCTGCTTTTGAAGATTGCATGTTGTATTCCAGGAAACTGAAAACGATATAAAAGCTTTCTCAATTAGCGAGACTATCGATCGCGTGACAAATAGTGTTGTTGTGGAAAGAGGGTTGCTTTGTTCACCCACCTTGGAGCGGCTCCAAAGCTCTGATTAACACACAAGCACCAGGCTCTTGACTGGAGATGTTCAAACAATGATATATTCCATATATAAAATAAACATACGCTGTTCCTGGAGCCATGTACAGTGGTTCACACCGTTCAGTTTTCTTACCACCATAAGCATGGCAAGCTTTATCAACCACACCCAAGTAAGCCTCTGTCTCAATTATTCTTCCGCATAACACTTCTCCATTATCAAGGATGCGATAAAGCAATTTCCCTAAGAGTTTTTGGGCCAATTCTTCACAAGGTCTGATGTAAAACAACCTACCAAGTTGATTCATAATGTGATTCTTGTGGATTGTAAGTTTAGCTCTTTTGTTTGGTGTGACGTTTGAAATATTCTTATAACCTTTTTTAAAGTACAAGCTTTCTTCGCCGTTTCCTTTAGCTTTACCCGAGAGGTCTTCTTCAGTTTTAGCGGCGTTATCAAGACCGTTGCTACTTCTTTTTCTAACCTTACGCGCCGCCATGTTGTTATTTAGTTTTTCTTCGTTGTGTAACTAACATCAAGTATCCTAACGAAAAAGGTCTAAACGAAGGTTTGGTTGGTGTGGTGAGGGGTGCAATTTAAGGGGGATGTGGGAGGAAGGATGTTTGACAACTTTTTCAGCCTGGTTCAATTACCAATCTATGATTCACATTTCATTTTTGAAAGTAAAAAAAGGAAAACCGGTCAAAATGACAAATATTTATTCAATAGGCAATAACATACAAACTTATTTAGCAGGTAATATTTTAAAAGTTTTTTCTTCACTGGAAGCACGCTCTTGCAGCTTAGTCAAAAGTGTATCACAATCTTCAGCAACTAAGAGAATGTCTTTGTTCTCACCATACACAAAACCTGTCCTGACTGCATTCTGAATCTAAAGTTAAGGAAAAAACACAAATAGTTGTGTAGGTACATAACTACACTGATAACAATTATAATGAAGATGGTGAGAAATAAAATTAGAAAAAATTGTTTATAGGGGCTTTTAAAGGATTTTGTCTCTATGGTTAAGTGGGGAAAGGAGCAACAAAAGTGAAGAAGTACTTTTATTTTCTTTTCTTCTGACAATTTCTAGCTTGCTGATGAAACAGTGAAGAGTGTTTGAGCAAATTAAACAAAATTGACCACTGATATAAGAAGTAAGTTCTAAATAAGATTTTTGTATATCAGTGTGAGAGGAGACTCTTCAACATACCCATTCCAAAAAACTTCCCCAGTAATTGGCCACATTTAACAATCCTATTGGTTTATCATGAAGTCCAAGTTGATACCTGACAAAGGAATAAGAGGAAAAAATAATTAAAATAAACAGATTAAAGAATGCTTTCAACAAAAGTTGGCATCATTTTTGAAAAATGATTCAGAGGAGAAACAACAAGAAGATTATATATTTGTTAACTGTCTTCTTAAGCAGTAGATAATCTAATTTAAGTCTTAACATTAGTTTGTTACCATGTGATCATTTCCAGTAATTCCTCAAATGTTCCAAAGCCCCCAGGTAAAGCTATCAAGGCATCAGCCTGAAAATACACAAATTTCTGATTTAGGATAGTTAATAATGTAAGAAATTAAATTCATCCAGGGTTATTGTGATGCTCCAAAAAATACAAGTGGCACACCCAATAGAGTCTTCCCTTGGACTGAGAAGGTGCTGTATGAGAGGTTATCCCTAATATTTGTGGTGTGTTTACTTCTGAACACACCATAATGAATTTATTGTGCCTCCGGAGCACTTACCATAGGGCCACCATGCTTTTAGTTCATTGAAAGTTATCATAATTATATCATTGTTGGTACCTGCTCTAACATCTCTCTCTTCCTTGTATGCATATCTTGAACAAGTACTGTCTTGCCGATGCCTTCTAAATCTTTAGGATCTGCAGTTGAAAATTATCCCAAATGGCTCTATGTAATGCTTGACCAAGAATAATTTTTAAGGCTAATCTCAGCAAAGTCTGTAAGTTAAAGATACTCCTGGTAATTGTAATTGCCTCCAGTGTCAGCATTCAAATATGATACTCATCAGCCTCAATGTATACATAAAACTCAACAACACAATGGTTAATTAGAATGCCATTTTATTTGACAGTATTACACTGTCCTAACTTTTCACATTGGGGTACTAAGGTTCATTTTGGTTGGTAAACATATCCATGGTGGCTTACTTCTTTGAACAAAGAACTCAGGAAGAAATCCAGTAACTTCACATCCACCTTCAGCAACAGTTTTAGCCACAGTGCCCATAAGCCCAACAGAACCGCCACCATAAATGAGATTGATCTTATTCTTCGCTAAGCAAAGACCAAGAGCTGCAGATATCAAAACCACGTGAGAAATTCAAATGAAAGTTAAAAATCAACAACAATTGATTTGGCTAAATTTCTGCACATACTCATACTGTATGCAATACGCATACAATTCTCTTTGGGACAGTCTGAACAGTACGTACAGCTTTGTTTTACAACAGGATGAGGCTGTGCAGAAAATGTTACCTTGATTTTCTTCTTATCCTCAGAAATGCAAGTGAGGAGTTTAAGCAAGCAAGCTGAAACGGTCAGAGGATTAGGCTATTCTTCATAAAATTTGCAGATATTTATTTGAATTAATCTCTGACAATTGCAGCCATTTCTTGGTTTTCATAACATTGCACGTTTCAACTTATTTGGTAGTGTGCGCATTTGATCACAAGTCTAACCATAGACAAAAATTATTCGAATTTCCACAGAAGAGAAGTACCTCTCGCGCTCTCCTCGAATCTTGGGTCACTTCCTGAGCTGGAACCACAAAACACAGTGATCGTTTTCAACGCCATGATTAATCGAAGTACAATCATAAAGCAAAATTATCCAGGCGTAGTTATTCTAGTTCCCAGATTTCTCTGTCAGATACTGTAAGTTTCACTACCTTTAATAAGTAAACGAGGGAAAAAAACAGAATTTCAACGCGGGCGTTTCCTTTGGAAAGCCCGAGTAATAAGTGAATAAAAAGATGAAAAAACCCTTTGAGCAGAACTCAACCAGATGCAAAGTTAATAAGGTAATCCGAGCAAATTTCGTGACCGAAATCACTGTCACGCGATGTAAGTTTTAACAGCATTTTGACCAGTAAGGCAAACCAGAATTAGGCGCAGATGACTGAATACAGACTGCAGGGATTTTATAGCTCATCTGTCTGGATTCGCTTTTTGTCCCGGCTCGAAACTAATCCTTAGATGTTACCTCGGTCACCAAATGGTTTGTTCACGCAATTCAACTCTCTTTGCAGTGCTTGCTTTGCACCGTAACAATGAATGTTATTGTGTCTTCTTGAATATCTTAATTCTTTTTAAAAGTAACTAATGAAAACAACTGTTGTAAGCATTCGAGAAAGTCCCGGAGTTCTCCGTCGTTTTCTGCTTTTGGAAGGTAAAGCTAAAGGTAAACAAGCAAACAAATGGTTGAAACTGTTGGTGCATGTTGATGAAACAGAAAACAATAGTGTCAACTCCTTTCTACATTCAAAGGTTCACCCGAGACGCACAAGAGAGGGTCATCGTGATACAATGTTCTTATTTTGCGCCAGCCTCACACAAAGGATGCACCATGATAAATAACAAGGACTACCCATCTTATTCTCCATGGACGCAATTAACAAACAAAATCGTACATATCAAGCCAATAAGTCCAAAGGCATCCTTGATTTCATGCAAAGCATACGCAGTTAATCTACGAAATTCTATCGAGCTCTCTTTCTGATATAACCATTGGTAACAAAAAAGAAAACCCAAACAAAAAACCAAACACAAGCAAACAAAACTCGTCAGAGGAAGGGAAGATTCGAAAGAGTGCCCCTTTGAAAAATATCTAATTCTCTAGTAATGCTGTACAGAAGAACCAATCACAATATTGGAGCCACTAAAATACTGTCGAGTCAACCATGAGTCACATGGACACCTCATAATCTAATCAAAGTACATCCAGATCATGATCGACTCTTTATTTCAGCAAAATAGCAAAGACCTGGGTCTTATACTTGAACGTTATGAAAGAAACTAACAACAAACTTGACTCTATTCCAAATTCTGAGAGACAAATTGAAATGCCATGTTGGCATTGTTCGACTGTCTGGAAGGGAAATGTACCGTTTTAAAATACGAGACGAAAGAAAAATAATAAAAGAAATGTCTTTGCAAAAACGTCCTTTCGTTGAAGAAACCTCGAGGTGTTAAAAGAATTTCACCCCAGTAATGCAGCTAGTGGTGTTTAAAAGTATTTCTACACTGTTTCTCTCCTTAAACATAGCAATGTCCTTATCATCGCGATGAACTCGAACTAGATCGGCTGTATCTCCGTCGCCTTGGTGGTGATCGACTTCTGCTCCGTGATTTCGAGCGAGACCTGCGCCTTGGAGACGGAGAACGCGATCGTCTACCCGCTCTAAACGAGCCACGGAATCGTGCAGGCGGTGATCTCCTCCAAGCTGGCATCGGACGGCGCCTCGGGGGTGGACTGGGACGGCGAGCGGGTCTAACGTCGCGTGGCCTTATGGGAAGCACCATCTGTGCGGTTATTTCTTGTCCATCAATCTGCCCGCCATCCATATGTTTCAAGGCAGTGTCTGCATCGTCCGCCTCGTCATACTCCACGTATGCAAATCCCCTGGGCATAAAGTTAAAACGGTCCATGGGTAAGTCAACTGACTTAACGTGACCGTATACGCTAAATATCTCGAAAACGTGATCCTTCGTGACGTTGCGTGTAAGATGTGCCACGTAAAGCTTGGCCGGTTTGGGGGTTGGGCTCCTTTTGCGTCTTCTAGGTGAGCGTGAAGAAGCTGAAGAAGACGATGAACGGGCGCGAGGTCCACGCTTCACAGGACTAGGAGACTTGGACACGGATTTGGAAACTGATCGCCGCGTGGGCCTAGTGCGTGGCGGCGGGGTGGGTGACTTAGGGACTGGTGATTTCTTTGGTGATTTCTTTGGCGATTTCCTCGGTGATTTTGGGGGAGGAGAGGCTTTGGGCGATTTTGGTTTAGGGGGAGGGGGTAGGGCTTTATCTTTGACTTCTTTGGGTTCCTTTGTTACTTCTTTCACTTCTTTGGTCTCCTTTTCCTTCACTTCTTTTTTAGTTTTGGGAGCTTTTCCCTTTTCATTATCTACAGAAAAGAAAACAAAAGAAAAAAGTCATTATAGAGGCCCAGTAAGAAGATGCACAAGTATTTACTTTTATGAACAACAACATTAAAAAGTTTACAAGCTGCAGGGGAGTATACTGATTTTTTTAAAGTCCTAATTCAGCTCTGGGTAATTTTTGAGTGCAATCTCATTTTCACAAGCATTAAATTACTTATCAGAAATTCAGAGAATATCTTTGAATATTCAAAACTGAAAAAGACTATCTGGAGGGGATAAGAGGGTTATTGGTTTTCTCACTATGAGACTTGTAGTGCTCCACATACTCAATGGAACTTGGATTTCAAAGCAGTTGTAAAAAGTTCACAAACCAAGCTCCCTTAACTAACAAGCAAGACTCTATCATGATAGAATCACTCAGCAACGTAGTGGGTTTAAAATAATTAAAGTATGAAAGGACTCCTAAGTTTATCCACTCAGCTACAGGTGGATGGTACCTTTGATTCATCACTCTCATGATATTGGATAATAAATGATTAAATCTTTTTTTAAAAATGAGATAGGTCTACTAAGGTGTGTGAATAAGTCAAACACTGCATATTTGTTTCCAAGAAAATAATTTGATATCCTTACTACTACTGCTGCTACTTGATCCACTACTACTGCGACTGGACCCACTATGACTTGATCCACTACTACTGCTGCTACTACTTCTGCTGCTGCTTGACCCTGAACTGGAGCTGCGACTAGTGCTAGAACTGCCAGAGCTGGATGATGAACTGATAACAACACAATCATGAAAATAAGCAATATTTCAATGAGGCTACACATGATATTATGTGAAAAAAAAAAAGCAAAGAGATGGTGGGCTTGGATTCTAGGCAGATTTTGAACTCGACATGATAAATCCAATATCCACTACAGATACTACATTTATTAAGTCAACTTCCCACACTTTAGTACAGTTTCACAAAATCTCTCCTCAATGCTTTTTGACATGTCAAACAAATAGCAACTGAAGCACATTTGAGCATATCCACATAGAATGTGTGCACCAATAATTTGACATCATTATTAGTACCTTACCAATGCTGAAAAACTTTGGGTTGAACCTTTCCCTAAGTTTTTCATAATTTTCAGAGCTAAGCATTGGGTGAGTGTGAAACACAGTTAGGGTCGAATGAAGTTACCATGGTTTGGTCGTCGAGGTATACTAGAGAGCACATTAAACAGATCAGTATGTTAAGAGCCAACCTGGCTTACAATGATTAATATGCACTCATATCTCATAAATAATGACCAAGACAACGTCTTTGTTGCCATTCTAAAATTTCCGCATGTCAGCTCCAAACAACATGCGAACACATCTTTGATTTGCGCAGGTCACATATGGTAAACAAAAATGATACATACAGCAAAATGGTTGCTGCCAAATTGAAACTACATTGATCATAGCTTTGTATACATAATGAAACTGATGTGTGGCATAAGGTTGCGGTTAAATCAGCGATATTCAATGAACAGAGGTAAAAAGCATTCAGAAAGGTCTCAAACAAGTCACCTGCTTGATAAACGATTTCGACGGCTACTTCCTTTATCTGTGCCGTTTTTGGCAGTCACTTTGCTTGAATCCCCTTTGCTTTTAGCCTTGGTCTTAGCCTTACTTGACTTTACTGGACTCCGGCCACGGGTACTAGTAGTTCGCTTCTTTTCTTTGTCTTTGCGAGGTGCTGGAGAGCGCGAGCGACTTCTGCGACCCCTAAAGACCGACAAAATTCACGGCAAAATTAGCAAACAAACAATCTAATATGCACCGTGATATAATTAAAAAAATAATTTGATATAAAGAGCAGCTTTTGAATGTGCAATAATAGAAAGATGGCCAAGGATTGTGCAGGAATCTACTCACATCCCTAACGCTGACACCGCCAAGATGGCCGAATCCCGTACTTGACTTGGTTTCAGGTCCCACTCTGTCATAGCATCCAACATGGCGGACGGCTTTAGTCTTTTGAACCTTGATGTTATTCAGAAGCAGTACTTGCAAATGGCTCCGTTGAAATTATTTCTTTGGAAAGTAAGATTATTTTGCAGAAAGAGTCAGTGGTGACACGACTGAAAATCTTCGGCGGCATATCTTTATTTTCGGGCAGCATAACTTCGGGCGAGATGACTTACTGACAACTTAATTTAAACTACTCTTATATAACAAGGCATTTTTTCCCAAACTTAAAAAACTTTTTAAGCCACTGTTGTCGTTCATCGCGCAACTGTCATGTATAATGAAGTATGAGGTTGTACAGGAATCTCTTCGGTTGATTTAAACAATTTTATTCTCAATGTTATTGATTTTTCAGGCACTTGAGCAGGCAAGTCTCGACTTGGAAAAACAGAGAAAAATCCTATGCATGGTTTGTCTCATACATCTATCGATTTCAATTTTTTTTGCGTATTTGAATTAGCCATTGAAATATTTAATTATTTTTCAGACTTATTTCTTCACTGCAGAATCGTCGTATGCTCCTTCGGTATCGTACCAAAGACTGTTTCTGAAACGCATGCTGAAGTTATGTGAGGACAGGTGTATCAAGATCGCGGATGAACTCTATGAAGCATACGGAGATGTGTGTGGTAAAGCAGAACACCTGGATAACAAGTGCTTTAAAACATATGTACTGGTGAGGTTCATTCAGAAAAGTATTGGGGACAATCATCAAAAACGAAAGATTTCCATTCAACCCCATGCTATTCTAAAACAAAGCCTTGGTCCCAGAGGTAATCTGTTTTTGTCGTGGGGGTAATTTTTTAAAGAAACTGTGGTGCTACCTTTCTTTTATCTGAGAACTGTACCCTCAATGAAGCATGGGGTAATGTGGGAACCTTGCCATCAAAATTGACATATACATACATGCCAAGGTCTAAGAAAGTTATAGTATGTGTGTAACTATGATATACAAAAGGCACCACCCATATAAATTGGTTCAAGGACCCTTGTTCCTCTGGGGCATTTTGGAAAAGGCAACCCCTTTTAAGACAAAAAAAGTCATTTTTAATGTTGTAAGCCATTTATAATTAGAAAATTGGGTGACAGGTTTTACCCTTGTGAAGGACTTCTGGTGTCATACATTCTGCATCAGATAGGGAAAGTTCTATGTACAAGCATAAGAGTTAGGTGTGTGATCAAGAATATTCTCAGTGAGAGTATTTAGCATGTGATTGGGTGAATTATTCCTAAAACCTGTGATCTGTTAGGCCTGACATTTTAAGAGGAGCCTAATTAAATGTTAATTGATAATTGAGGCAACCTTCAGCAGACTAACAATTTCCATAGAAGAAGGAAATAGTTTACCACTGGCCTCTTCATGCCAAATAAACCATAACATTAAATGGTTTAACCTTTGATCACTTTTTAAGCCATGTGGGGCCTTGTTAACCCTTGAAGAAACTCAACAGTTTATCTCTAAAGGAACAACAGGACTTAGCACCTGGATGGTGAGTTTTCCTCTAAGATAATATCATAATTACTGGTGGTAATTTTTATGTATCCGGGAATGTATCAAGGTGGACTGTTATAGTAAGACGTAGCTGGATTTTTATAAAAGCCATAGGGGTAAGAACTCAGAGGAAAAATGTTACCAGTAACAACAGATACTTTTCTGCTCACTATTGGTTTTATGCCCACCATTTGATCCACGATCAGAACATTATGATAATTGTTCTCATTTTTATTTTTATTCATTGTATTTAAGTCATGGTTTTGATGTAGATTAAATCTTGTAAATGGTAATTTTTTAATGTAGATATAAGATTTGGCATGTAACTAATTTTCTCTTTTATTTAAATAATTATTTATTTATTCATCTACTGCTATTTAATTTTCAACTCCTAGTATGGTGTAAACTGTTTCAGCAGTGTCCCTATTAAAGTGAGAACTATGAGTAGGTCACTCTCCAAAAATTCAACAGGGGTGGAAGGGTAGGAGCTAATTTCTAAGGGTTGTATTATCAAAATGTTTACATTTGATTTTCTTTTGGAATGACTGATATCACAGGCAGGAGAATACCTTGCTGAGTGGGCACTAGAAAACCCTTCCCTATTTCAAGACAGGTAACTGTATGCTTGGCTTCAGATTAAGAAAAAGACCAACAACTTGAACTGCAAGTTAAAATTGCAGTTTATTCCATGAAAAAGATGGTTATTTTAAAAATGAAAATCATTATGCAGGCTTGGCAGTCTTGATGCCATCTTAATGTCTTTAGTTTTTGGCAGTAATAAATATTCAGAGGGCTTGGGGGATATGCTAGTTGTACCAATGATAAGTGTGCTAAAGATTTGGCTTAAATCCTGGCATGTATGGCAATTGTGTTGTACACTTGACAACTCATTTTGACATTGCTGCATTGGTTTTGACATTAAAATAAATCTTGCAAACTGTTAGGGAAACCACATGAAATATGGCAGGGTCACCAACTGTAGTAACCCATCTTTTAAGGCTGGAGTAGTTTTACAGTCAGTTGCTTCATTTGTCAGGAAGGCTGGGGTAGTTGGGGTCGTACAAATCATTCTTGAAGGGTTTCATAGTTCCCAGTTTCAATTCTTCCATTTGCCATTCATTTTCTTTGGTGTTATTTTCCAGATCCATCATAGAGCTGGGCTGTGGTACTGGACTTACAGGACTTTCTATTTGCTCCATGAGTTCACCAAGCCAGTACATATTCAGTGACTGTCATAATGAAGTGTTCAAAGCACTTCAAAGCAACCTTGAACTGAATGGATTTGTCATAAGCCAGGCAGACAGTGAATTACCATATTTAAATAACAAAAGGACTTGTGAGTCTCACACAGAGAGTGACATGCATAAACATTGGAAAGGATTGGCTCTCAGGAATCAAGATAATCATGGCTACTCACATCACAGAGATATAACTTCTCAGCAAGACTCTGGAGTGACAACCAGCAAGACACCTGATATGGAAATAACTTTACACAAGTTTGACAAAACACCACAGTGTATGGCATGTTTATCAGACTATTCTGAAAGTGAAGATATTCATGACCTGTCAAGTTGTGCGTCAGATTTCATTGCTTGCTATTCAAGACATCCTTCAAGTCAGATAAGGCACTTAATTGAAGACTGTGCCAATCATTCTTGGGACACTCAAGTTGACATTTGTAAATTAGACTGGACAACTTTAAAGAAGAGTGATTTGAGGAGATTTTCAACTGGGATTATTTTAGCTGCTGGTATGTATAGGGAAATATGGTACACTTTCTCTTAAGTGTAGGACACTCATGGGGTGTGGCTGTGGTGGGGGATGATGATTAGGTGATGCTAAATCCACAGAATGTACACTAAGGTGACTTTGGTGTTGGCACTATGTGAAGTTCTTTTCTGTCCAATAAGGCAATTTAAGCCATGATGATGAGGCCTCACAAGGCCAAAACAGCTGCACTATGCTGCTCTCTTGGTCACTTACTCCTTCAGCTTCTTCTGTATGATAGAGGAAACCACGGATCACTTACATCAATGCCTTGTAGCCATGAGTGCTCATCCTGAGGTTTCAGTGCACCATCTTAAATCAGACAATTGTTTTAATCTTGCATGACACCACATTAAGTGTAATCTGATGAATTCTTTCATACTGGTTTACAAATAACAGACACAGTGGTGATTTATCAAAATTGAAAATCTTTTAGGACCAAATGATGAATTTGTGAAAAGTATGTGTAATAGTTATGGAGATGAAAAGTTCTTCCCATCAAAAAAACCTGCCATCAAATTGGAAGACAAAGGTTCAGGTCAAAGCACATCAAAAGCAGTTGGGTTTGCCTTTTAGCTCTTGTATGACTAAAAAGCATGAGTGTGTTTGAGTTTTCTTTACTATAAATTGTGCTTTTAAAAACAAAACTGTTTTTAATTTCTTTAATAGATGTTATTTATGATAGTGAGTTGACCCCAGCATTAGTGAGAACTTTGCATCTACTCTTAAGGTAAGTACTGATCAAGTTAGTATTTTTTTTTGTCATGGTAGCTTCTCATACAAATTTACTTTGTTCATAAAAATGTCATTACTTGAGAAAGTTAACTAATGTTTTAACATGTGCATCTGTTGTAGTACTGGTGGCGATAAAAGGGGGAAACCTGTTGCTTTCATTGCTTCAACCATCAGGAATCTGCAAACATATGAATTGTTTCTTAATTGCCTTTGTAAGTAAAGTTAACTTCATTTGATTCCATTAGTAAAATTAAAACATTTTTATTATGATAAGTGTACAATTGCCCTTAATTTTAAAAATGTTCTTTGCAAAAAATTATAATTCTGAGGTAGAGTATTTTGTTTGGTTTGCAGATGAACACGATATTTCCTGCAGTGAAGTAACCAAGCCAGCAAATCAAGTTTTTTATTATGATCAGAGTTGTGAAATTAAAATTATCAAGCTTGAAGTCTAATTTAATGAGCTTTAATTGTGTGGTATTCCTCAGACAAAATAATGTAACAGCTTTCCTTTGTTCAAAAGTTATTCATACTTTATTTACTATACACAATGATATTGGAAGTTTTACCACACAATACATTTTTACATTAAAACTAAACCAATTAACATATTATTAGAAAAGTTTTTAAATACTTAGTACTATGAAGTAGTCATTCTTAATAGTAAAACTAAAATTCAGAAGAAGTCAGATGAAACCTAACAGTGTCATTCAAATGAAACAAATAAATTAATTTATTCTGGCCTTTTTTCCGAACTGATATAGTTGAAAATCTCAGAGATTGAAGAATTTTTTAATGTAGATCATTTGTTGAAAAGGAAAAACAATTTTAATATTGCTCCATTCTGCAATTAGCTAGCAACCTTAAAAATATATCATTACATTCAAAGGGTAGTTACTTTTAGAACTTTAGAGTAATCCACCCTTGATGATCATTTTCATATTAAGTCTCATAAATCATAACTTTGTTTTTACCATGTAAAATATCAAATAGGATTCTATTCTAAAATTTCTTTCCTCGCAGATTTAAAGTAATTCATTAATTCTAAAGCCCAGATGCCACTTAGTCATTTTAATTCATTCTTAAAGTACTCTCTGTAGAGAAGTTTCCTACCAACATTTAATTACTTTTACTGTTTACAATTTGCAGAAAGGAAATGGCAAAACTATAGAATACATTTATTAAATAAAACACCACATATCTACAATTGCTCTTTACTGAACTAAGAAAATGCTGATCTTTTAGAAGAATCACACAAAACTTGAACCTGTCTGGGGTTTGCAACTCTTCATCCTTTAACTCTCAGAAATGATTAACACGAATACTCCCTACAATATCCATACATTCACCAGCAAACAGGTAATGTGAATACTTAAACTTATCACAAAGTTATATCTATCTAACATCAAATTCTTGTAACCAATTTACAAGGAAATGTGTGGCAGCTAGAGGGGAGAATTACAAATCAGATCTAGGAGTTAACAGGTTAAAGGTCGATTGTCAGTCTGAATGCATTGCTGAATTTCTGTCAATTTGAAAATCGTCACTTTGAAATTACAGCCAATCAAAACATTACATCAAGACCACTTCAAATAAACAAAAAGACAAAGACAAGAGGCTACTGGGTGTGGACAACAACCTTCAGTAGCTATAACAAAAGTTACATATTATGCTATCTAATATTAAATACTAGCTGCCCATTACAAGTGTACTCTATGAGAAAACAGCCCTACATGAAACAAATGACAATAGCAGCCTACAGATCTGTACATTGAAAAATATTACATAAAAATACACAGAAAGACTTTAAACACACCTAAACTTTCTGTAATACATATTCATATTAATTTAATTCTTAAAATTTGAATGAGCATTCATCATGAAATGTTGAGAGCTTTGATTAATAACAAGAATAGAAATAATTAAAATATTATATGCTATACTTCTCAACCCCCCACTTCCTCAAATATGATTATTATACTTTTCACACATTTAAGTTATGTATTTGATACCAGCTTAAAGCTGTCTTCTGATCATTCAAAATGAAGTCATTCTCTCTGCAGATCTTAAAGATTTTCTGAAACATAACCTATTCTCAATGCGCCAAGGGCAACATTGACATGTCAGTGTCTAGGTGGCTCTTGTTTTAATCAAAGGAGACATTTTTTAATGCTCTTGAAAACAGTGATATTTTACAAGCTCTGTAATCAGTCAGTCACCAATGCGGGAACTGTTCCTCTAGTCCTGAATTCATGAGCCTAATTGGAAGATCTTCCATGTTGGGAAGGACAAACATGTTCTGAAACACATTACAAAAAAACAAGCAAAGAAATTATGCAAAGACAATTTGAAAACTGTAAGATAATACACAAAAACCAGAGGGATGCAGTCCAAAGTGGGGTTAAAGCAACAATAACAAAACAGCAAGGGTGACAAAAAGACAAAATTAGGCTTGAAGCACAAGCCAGAAAAGCCACTTGGCATGTCAGCCCAAGTACACTTTTTTAATCAAATATTAATCAATCTTCAGTGATACTTTACAATGACAATGCACCTCTCCAATCTACAGAATGGCTGTCCCTCCTGCTAATGAAGCTGACTTGCGGGATTGGTATGAAAGGTGGGGTTGGATTACTATTGACTATCATACCACATATGGGTGGAAACAATAATCCATACAATTATTAGGTCTGTACTCAGCTCTATGAGTTAGCCCAGACTTATAGCTGTTTGTTGTAGAACTTCACCTGCTCTCTTAATTTTTCTCTAACTTGGTAATTTACATGTAACATCTATTCACAAATTTCCATTTAAAAATACTTACCTTAAACTCTTGTTTCAACTTTTTTTCAATCCAGTCAGTAACATGGGTGAGTTTGACTTGACGTTCACCAAGCTTTGGTCTTGCAGAGACAAACAACATGGGACTCCCCCGGAAACCATACCTGCAACAATGTATCAAATTTGAATTGAATGCAAACTAAAAATTATTACACCCCATGAACAGATAAAGTCCAAAATGTTCTTCAAAATCTCAAAACTAGTGCTTCTTCCACAGCTTCTAGATCAGATTTTACAACACAATTTAATGTACAAGCAGGAAATAAATTAAAATTTCAAATAAAAATTTTGCTACTTAACAGGTAAAAATAATAATAATGTTAATTATCATATTGTGTTTTGCATTTTATTTACCAACTGGTAATCTATTTAAATAATGAAAATAATTTTTTCTACAATATTGTGTCACAGTTGATTTTCCTCCAAGTGTGTTAAACCTATACATTTACTCTCATACCAGTAAGTAACACTCCTCTTTAAGAATCGCCAAGTTCACTAAAAATTTGTTGAGTTTGTTGGCATGTAGCAATAGATTAAATTTACTGAATGTAGAGTCACCTACTGTTTGAAACATCTTTAAGTTCCAAATTAATTATTCCCTTTCCATAAAGCTTTTCTTTCCCTTTCCTAATACATGGAAATCAATGATAACCATGTAAAGCTGGACTTATATCAAATACGTTTTCATACCTGTGAATTGGCACAAAGACTTAGTGGAAAGAGACAATTACCTTGCTAAAAAAAAGAAAGGAGAAAAACAGGAGAAAATTTAATGCAGTTGATTACAACATACCACAGCCTGTTTGTAGGAGGTGGGGGAATGTTCAGTGCAAGAGTTCCTTTGACTGTTAATACCTCCACTGACAAAATAATTGGCAGATTAGAAAACCTCTCAGCTGCTCTCTTGACAATGCCAGTCTCCGCTGCTTTCTTCACCCACTTAGATTTTGCCAGCCGTTCAATTACACTGAAGATTTTGCGCTTTGGTCCATTCTTAGTAGAAAGACCTAAATGTTTTTTCATTGGAGTACTAGGGGCACTTTCTGATGTCTTCTCAGGAAGAACTTCAGTGAGCAAGCCTTTATCTGATAGTTCCTCACTTGAACTCTGTTTCTGAGAAGACAGTTGTCTCCTTCTTGGTTGAGTGCTCTTTTCCAAAGAAGAATTTCCTTCTTCCGCATCAGTTGCATTACTCAGAGATAAAGGATCCTTGCTTTCCAGAAGCTCTTCATCACCATCAAAACTGCTCAAGGTGAAGGAGTCAGAGCTTTCACTCTGAGGAATATCTTCCAGCTTCTCTCTTCCACTCTGCACAGTTCCAAGAGGCTTGATCATAAACTCTTCAAAGTCAGATTCTGGTGATTCAAAGTCAGAGTCACTGTCAGGTGGACTCTCAGATCCTGAGTCATTATCAAGTTCAGCTGCGCCCAAACTTTCTTTGTCAAGATTTTCATATTTCCTTGACAGCTCTGCCATTTCAAGCTCTGCATGCTCACTGTTTCCAAGGCTTAAAAAGTAACTCAAGTACCCTTCTATATTTAAATGGCCTTCAAAAGTAAGGATCAAGCCTCCATTGTAAGTCACTTCTAAATCAACCCATGTACCATCATGCTCAACCTTCGGAGAAGATGTCTTCGTTATAACTGGAAGACTCTGGCCAAGGTTAAGATCAGAAATTGAGATGTCCCGGATGAAGGAGGGTTTCTTCATCTTGGCAAGCTTGTTTTCAAAGCGTTCCTTGATCTTGTTAGTCCAATACTTGTCATGCCATACATCCCAAAATACTCTCCCAAACATGACATTAACCCATGCAATTTCTGACTGTTGGGAAGGCTGAGCAATGAGTTTAGCCATGTATTGGGGATATGAACACAAAGGCAGGGTCTCCAGGTCGGAAGAGTTTCCAGAATTGTCATTAAGAAGTCTGCACAGGTGATTATACCAATCTTCTTTCTCCCTACCAGTCCTTGCAAATAAGTAAAGTACACCAACATCATCTAAAGAATCTTGTTCCTTGATTTTGATGCTCTCCTTTGCAGCACTTTCTTCATCAGCACTTTTGCTAAAACAGGAGATATCTTCAGAATGTGTCCCTAGCTTTTCAAGAGCAAGGCAGATTGGAAACTTTCGACTCCATACTTTCTTCATTGTCATTGATGCTGGTAAAAGTGAAACTTTGCTTCCAGTTAAATCATAGTGTTCATGCTTTGAGAATGATACGCTTGCTCCCTCTTCAATGGATCGCGGGTCAAACTTCTTTCCAGAATCTTCCACATGAGGATGTGACAGTTTTAAGTTTGTTCCATTTAAGGAGGCAAAGACTGGAATAGTCTCGGCACTGAATTCGAACTTCTCTGGGATGTAATCAAATGACTTAAACATCCAGCCCTAGGAAATAAAAAAAAAAAACAAACATAAAAAGAAAGATCTGGACTGAAATTTTACAAAATAAGCAAAATATTAATTCAAATGATAAAAACACTGTTTATGTAAAGTACACTTCAAAGTAAAGCCATTTAAAGGCTTTGTACAATTTATGACGTCATTTCTCTGATCAATAAAAGTAATATCTAATGATTAATCTGTTAGATAAACTATATTTGTTTCATTTAGCGAAGA